TCAATACACTGCGAGTAAACACACACCTCCACACAGACAGGATGAGCAGGATCACTCTAAAAACTGTGACGTCTCTATGGACGTTCAGCTTCTCCTGTTCACACCTGTCATCCACTGCGAAGGTGCCAACGTTGTCTGTTTTTCCTCTTTCTGACAGAGTCTTAAACAACAAGTAAAACCTTGTGAGCAGTGTTATGCACACAGCAATCATCAGGCCCAATATCTTATTAAGTGAGATCACGACAGCATTATGTTTTGCAGACGGACTAAAATATGAGGTTATTACTCGTATTAATGAAGGGGGTCAGCCATGGTTGAAAGTTATATTTTGCATATAGATTAAATCCAATTTCACATGCAAGATTATACATTATATATGTGTGAATGAAAGATGAGTTAAAATTAATGCCATATTTTTAAAATGCAATAAAATGAAGAAAAAAGGCAGTCTGAGCTACAGGGCACCGATATTACACTATGTTAAATAATATACTCAAAATAAAGCTTTTATTTTAAGGGTGTAGTTTACCTCTAAGAGCATTTTACTGAAGTGGTGTGAGTGCAGCCGGTCTGGCGTGTGTTTACCAAATATTTCCAGGTATTGAAGTGGATGGTGGACTGGTCTGTCTCAGGCTGGTGATCAGTTTACAGTTATGAGGTGTCGTGTTTTCAGGCTGTTAGTGTCTACACAGTTAATGATGCTCTCTCCTTCACACATGTACGGCATGACCACCACTCCACTGCATGAAGTTTGATCTGTGGCCACTGATGAGTGTGTTTGTACCTGTACTGGTCAGCAGATGATGTCCCGCGTGGGATTTTCCTTTTTTCCAGGAAATGTATATCAAAAGATTTTCCTTTCTCACATATGAGAATAGTGGAGAGTTGCCTGGAGATCCTTTGGATGCTGAAAAGATAGAAAACATTTTTCATCACTCTGTTGTTGGTATTGTCAGTGGTCCCTGTTGAGGATATTGCTGGAAATGACTTATCTTAATTATACAGAAACTAGCTGGGTGACATATCAAGCAAACAAACGATGAGTGGATTTCTGAAGAAGTAGAAATTGAACACTGAAGCTAAACTGAACTGCTGGTTTCAATTAGGTTGAAAAAGCAGCTAAAATGGCTTCATGAGCAAATGCAGAGTCAAATATGGGTCATAGATACACCACAGAATATTAAATAAGTTCTGTACTGAGCTTATGACTGAGTGAGAGTAGTGGAAACGATAGACGTTAACCTAACCTACAGCGTCTCTAAACACTGAACTGTAAAGAGATAGATAGATGGATAGATGGATAGATAGATAGATGGATAGATAGATGGATAGATAGATAGATGGATAGATGGATAGATAGATAGATAGATGGATAGATAGATTTAAATAGTTCAGGTTGGTTATTGTGGAAGGAAACCAGATTTACATGATCTCCTTTAAATAGCTCATGTAAAAAATTCGTTTGTTTTTTTTAAATTCATTTCCTCAATAAGCCTCACCTGAAATAGTCTGGAGCCATTTTGAAAACATGTGTCCTTCACTCTTGGTAGTATTATAAGACCTTACATGTTTTTTATTGTAGTATAAAAGAGCTTATAATCACATGTCTCATCCGTGTCCACACTTCACTTCGGTGATCTGCTGCAACAAACGTGTTTTCCCTCCCAAAGTAACTTTCAATCCCACCTCCACCTCGCTACCTGGTTCTGTTCAGCCAATCAGATCGCGTCCTGCTCTGACCTGATCCCGCCTCTCTAACTTCAAACATGGCGTGACCTGATGATGGCGCCTCCCCGTGGTGAGGAGTGCGTACTTCACGGAGGCTCGTCTCTGTCGTAACATCTGAGAAACTCAATGGTTTCAGCTGATTTGTTTCTTTGTTGTTTGTCTCTGAAAAATGTTGTTGATCTCTGGACTCTGGGTTTTTCTCTCCACTGTCAAGACATGTTGGCTCACTATGTGAACTACTGTGTTTTTTAAAGTAAGGTCTTGACCTTTCTATGTAAAGTGCCTTAATGTATATTGTGATGAGCTGCTTATATGAATAAAATATAATTATATATGTGCTGGGTGCAGAATGTAACAGAACGCCTCCCCCAGCCGCCAGTTTGTGTCTCAGTGCAGGGCCCCTCTTGGGCCAAATATTCATAAATTAATTATTTAAGGAACATATATTTATATTGAAAGAGAATATATGTAAAAATAACCTACTCAAGTACAATAAAACACCTTCATTAATTTCTCAGATAATAACTCATGGATATTGATGAACAAGAATCAGGCGTGTTTGAGGGACTGATATTTATGAGTGTGTGCAGATCCACAGCAAATTCCAGAGCCAGTGAATTTGAATGTGGTTTCATGAGGCGAACTCTTCAGTGTCAGAGAGACAAATGGAAACGATCACAGCCGTGGATGAAGACTCAGCAGTACCCTCCCAAAGTGACATTTATAATATACAACGTGAACAACTGCAGATGAATTACACCTGGTGCACAGTGTGCTGTTTCTCTGTGTGGTTCTAATAAAGGTCTCACCAGGAATGTTCACAGTGGAGAGCACAGAGCTGAATGTCATTCTCATAGGTTGCACCAGGTCACTGAAGAGCTGAAGTGTTTGTTCTTGTGAAATGTTGGATCGTGATTACCGACCTCTTGCTCCCGGCCCGGGCGTCCTTGCATGACTGGGTATTTCCAACACATGGCTGATTACAAGAGAGTAGCTCACAGCTTGAATCCTGAGAGGAGGCAGTGTTCCTTTGTTAGTATTCAGGTTTTACTTCATTAATTCTTTTTTTTTTTCTGGGATGGGCCGATGTGATGCAGGATGTAAATGATTTGTTCCTGGAAGTCTTCTGGTAGCTAACATCAGATAATCTATGGTGATTGATTCTCAGATGCTAATTTCAGGTTTAATTTGATGGCTTGAGAAGGGGGAGGCAATTTCCTTCCTTGAGATTTGAGACGAATCACCATCCTAATTTTAATTCTTGATTTGGACCAATGCAGTGTTCGTTTTTAAACTCTTCACGCTATCCTGCTTTAGATGTTGATAATATCACGTTTTTAACATGTGTCAACTCAATGGATAAATGTGTGTTTTAATTTTAATTTTATTTCTAATTTAATAACTGGATGTTTAATCAATCAGATTCCACATTGAACAACATACAACTCCATCCATAGCCTGCATATACATGGTAAATAGCCCAGTGTATTTATATGTTATGATATATTGTGTAATGTATTCATTGTTGTACATGTGCCATCTGGCGAGGGCATTTTTGTAATTTTGAATTCAGAGCCGGGATGTGGAGTGGAATACAACATTCATAACACTTAACAAAATTACTCCCAATATTGCCTCCATCGTAAATTCTCACAACACAACATGGAAAATCTGAACAGGATTTTATTTGATATTGTCTCATATATTTCATCTGTGATGAATTCTTTTATGTTTTCATAAATGTGTATTTATCTGCTGCTGAGCACGGGACGATGTATGTATTGTTGATCAAATCAATTTCACTGACATTTATATCGTATTTTCTGCTGCACTGACTGAACATAAAACCTTCAACAAGCTTGGTTATTGGACTATACAGGCCTTTTGTTGGAGTATAAAACATATGTAAATTGCAACCAAATATGTTTCTGTTCCAGTTCCAGTTCCAGTTCCATAAAAATATACAATAGTATGACACTGCTTCGACAAGATATTTGAAATTCAAGAGTGATTATTGCCCTTTATTTGTTAATCTGTCTCCCCTGAATAATCCATCCATTTGGTTTACAAGTGAATACTCAAGTATTCATGTGTGGCATGAGGCGTATTTTCTCCCTTGCCAGACAGAGCAGAATTATTATCATTTGTAGCTTTATCAATATTCATCCTTCAAACTGTCTGTGTATTAACCATGCTATCAGTTTTAAAACAAAATAGAGAGAAAAATAGAGAAAAACAAAACCCGGATGCCCCACCTAAGGGAATTTAATTAATATTATTTTTAATTTTTTGTTTTTTGCCAAAGACGAAACCTGGTTTCTGGTCATCCAACTAATTTATCTCTTTTTTTGGAAAATGATCTTGTTAGCGCTGCACATTCCCTGTAAACCACATTCTGCCGGGAAGGAGGCCATACCTCACAATAATGAGCCCTCTTAATTGTAGAATTAATTCAATTTTGCAGGAATAATCAGTCATACTAATCTCCATGGTAACAAACGTAATTAAATTTGCCAGCCTCAAATTTGGGGTTGTCTCTCGAAGAAGTCACAAACAATAGACGCATGTTGGAAACAAAGTGTGTAACAGAACGCATTCATTTAATTGCAGATGAGAAGGACAACACTGATCAATACATGGAGGAGGCACAGATACATGATTGACAATAGCTCTTATTTACCCTGATTATACATTTATACAATCCTGTTGATTTTATTGTTATAACAGTATCTGTGGAGGGGAGAGATAGATGGATAGATCATAGATGGATAGATCATAGATGGATAGATGGACAGATGATAGATGGATAGATGACAGATGGATAGATGGATAGATGATAGATGGATAGATGGATAGATGGATAGATGGACAGACAGACAGATGGATAGATGGATAGATGGATAGATAGACAGATAGATAGATAGATAGACAGATAGATAGATAGATAGACAGACAGACAGACAGATAGATAGATAGACATATAGATAGACAGATAGATAGATAGATAGATAGATAGATAGATAGATAGATAGATAGATAGATAGATAGACAGACAGACAGACAGACAGATAGATAGATAGACAGATAGATAGATAGATAGATAGATAGATAGATAGATAGATAGATAGATAGACAGACAGATAGATAGATAGATAGATGGATATACTTGTTGTTGTTTTAACTGAGGCGACACGAGGTTACGTCACATTTATTGAGGTTTATTGAGGAAGTGTGTCACGTGAGCGCTCCTGCTCCTCAGGCAGACGGACACGCGCTCGGTGTTGCCCTCCTCTCTCAGCCAATCACCTCTCAGGTAAACACGCTGTTGCGTCATTGTTATTGTGGACGTCGGGTTTTCCAGCGGCTTCGCGCAGGTTTCGACACAGTTCACGAACACAAAGCTGCGCAAACAGTGCGGAGCCGCGACGCTGCAGCTGCGCCATGTCGCTCCAGAGGGACGCTTCATCCGAGGAGGGTTTACAAGGTAAAAACAGCCTGGAGCTCAGCTCGGTCCATGCTAACGTTAGCCTGTAAACAGCAAACCACGGGCTGTGCTAAGCTAGCTGTGTGAGAGAAGCCTGAGCCGAGGTTTAGAGCTAACAAGTGGAGAAATCTAATATTTTGATTTGCTTCATAAAAGGCACAAGTGTAAAATGGCAGCTTGTTGTCATAGTTGGTAGATTAATACATTTACTCTTCTATTATCTAAAATGCCTCCAAGACCCAGAGAGAGAGAGAGAGAGATACACAAGATAAATAACTGAATCTATACAAAGTTGTGTATTAGACTAACAGCCTGTACAATTGTTGTACAGCAGATGTGTGTGTATTTCAAAAAAGTAAAAATAGTGCAAGAGTTAATCTTAAAATACAAAACTAGAGACATAAGAAATATAAATCTATATAAACATAAACGTAACGGTGACAGTCTGTCAGCCCAGTGACATGTTTATTTTACTGTGTAGGTTCATGGGTCGAGCTGCATTTCAGTGGCACCGTCTCCCAAAGTACAAGTCATCACGGAAGTCAGGAGCAGATCCCCACGTCCAGCCTGGAGGGTGACGTGGAGAAAATGCTGCTGGACGCACAACACGAGTCAGGGAGGAGCAGCTCCAGGGGGAGCTCTCAGTGCAACAGGTCTCTGGGAAACATTTGCTTATTTGTCCCTTGTGCATTGTGTAATCCAGATGGTAAATGAGTGGTATTCCAAATTTAATTGAAATGTTTTTGTCTTCTTTTTCTTTTTCTCATCAGCCCACTCAGAGCACAGACCCCACTTCTTCTGTGGAGGGGCTCGGAGGGCAACAGCTCACAGGTAGAGTTATATCTGAACTTGGGCTGGGTGATTTAACAATAGCAGCAATTATCACAATGCTTAAGTTTAGACCTATATATTTCAATATAATTCTTTTGCATTGTGCAAGCATAGTGAGAAATCAAAACGTGACATTGATCTGAACTGACCTGTATCAAAATCTATGAATCCAACTTGTTTTTATTTTACAGTTAGTTTGATACTGTACAGCTGAGTGTTGTTTTTATATATATTTTGACGCCGGATGTGTTTACAGTCAGATGAAGACTTCCAGGAAACAAGACGGGAAGTAGAGAACCTGATGAAGAAAAATGCTGATTGGATCTGGGACTGGTCTAGTCGACCTGAGAACAATCCACCGAAGTACTTTCCCTAATTTGCTACCTCTTCATAATGCATGTAGTTTTCTTATTTTTAATTAAATTTGACACCAAATGTGTTGATGCCTGAATGAATACAGTTTAAATTCACAAGTAATCAATACAAAGGATACCAGGGAAACTGTTAAACACCAGTGCTAATTACACGTTTGAGCTTATTTTCTTTAAGATATGATTTATTACTTTCATTCACATCATTTAAAATGTGTGTGTGAGGTGTCAGTGTGACATTAAACTGGTACTTGTCAATTTTAATGAATTCAGCACAATGAAAAATTAATGTGCTCCTCTGTAGGGAGTTCCTGCTGAAGCACACTAAGCAGTCGACCCCTCTCAGCATCAGGAACACCAGCGTCATGAAGAAGGGAGGAATCCTCTCTGCTGACTTTCTGAAGCTTTTTCTTCCCTCATTAATCATTTCTCACATACTTGCTGTTGGCCTAGGGTAAGCAACATTATTTAATTGCTAACTCTGGTATTTTTTACAGTAGCTCTAACTCTGAAAAAAAACTTAATAGCAATCTTTAGATGCAACTGCAGGACGATCCTTAAATAAATCTTAAAACCTGAAGATTTGGCAACATACAATTGATGCATATATAGAAAAGTAGACCTGTTTTCCTCCCGTTTATAAACATCACAGATCCAAACACCTTTAATTGCACCAACGCTACATGAATAATTTAGTGTTGGTCGAGTGTGTGTCTCTGTATTAAAAGGTCTCAACAATTAGTTTCTACCTGATAGATTACAGTCTTGACTTTTGAATTTTAGTGAAGTGACACCACTGTAACGTACTTTTGTAATGTGCTATTAATAATTCTTTGACCAATACAATCACTGAGCAGTTGTTCTGATAGGTTGCCATGGGCAGCAAGGGATATTGAGCTGTCTGTCAGTAATTTGTAGAGCACATACATCAGCCAAGGCCAACCAGCCAACACAAAACACACCCTCCTTATTTAATGCGCATTTATTTGTGACCTTTAATAATGAACCCCTATTTTTTGTTTATTTTACTTTCAGCACTATTTAATTCTATGCGTTTATCTTTCTTTTTTCAGGATATACATTGGGAAGCGTATAACCTCCCACAACACCTACTAAGTAGAAGTGTGGTGTGTTGCGACACCTTGTCACCTTGATGTGATTATCTTGGCATGCCTTACAACAGGACCTTTTGGAAGATCTAGGTAGATGTGGCCATGTGCCACGGTCCAATCTGATTGAGAGCCTCATGTTGCCCCAGAGCAGCTTGGAGAGTAAAGGATCTGTCTTTGCTGTCTGTGGCTTCCGACACCTGAACACAACACTGACCAATCCTCATGCTGCTTGTTGGTCGTCTCTTGTCCCGCCCTGGAGACGACTGCTATGCTGCTTCCTGCTCCTTAAATCTGCAAGTTAGGGAACTGATATATATTGTACGCCATTGCCTTTTTTTCTTTTAACGATGAGATTTCACTTGAGGAATTTATTGTATTTTTAATTTTCAGATCAGGTGTGGATAAACATGATTTTTGTGTCCTAGGGATCATTAGCTTAGAGTTTGAGAGACAGAGCTTTGATCACCTGTAAACTGCAGAAAATCAAATGTTACCTTTTTACGCACAGCTGTGGTCTATTTTGTTCAACGTACACAATAAAAGCAGGAAACACATGTACTAAATGGCCCCTGATGAATGTTACGCACACAACATGTAACTGACTGTCAAAGGAGAGGATCACATGCAGAGGAACACAATTAAAATTTTATTGAACTTTGGTCAAAATAATAAACAAGTGAATACATTGCCACCATGTTAGGAATCAATGGACAAAGACAATGCATTATTATGTGTTTGTTTTTAATGTCATCAGTATATGTTTCGTGTAGTCAACTTTCATTTCGGCATTCACAACTACGGAGATAAGATCCACATTTGCAATACGCGGCTCAAATTTTGGGTGACATCCCTAATAATAAATGAATAAGGGCACATGTATGAGGCCTGTCTGAATTTTCCTACTCGTTACATGATTTGGAGGCACTCTGTCACATAAACTGTACGTGTGCAATTTTCCTCCTTTGTGTTTTTCATAGACAGCCACCTATAGCAGCAGTATATGAGGACATAACTATAAAATAGGATTTACAAATAATGCACATGAGGTTTGTAAAACGTTTGGGGACATAAACTTGTAGCTGTCACTGATCGAAGTAGGTATTAAGGCTGCAGATTCCCTTTGTCCTGGGCCCCATCTTGTGCCATGACGTTTCCGGCCTGCTTCCTAAAACATGGTCAAAAACTAGAAATTAATCTCTCGACACAAACACGTCATTGGTCGTCTCCAACAGTGGTTCTGAGACTGGTAGCCCCAAATCGTATTTCCGTAACAAGTTTGATTGAGATCTGCTTAAAAAAAAGACAGTGGTCTGACTGAACATTTTTCCACCTCTCTACAACATAAAAACATGCAAAGCAATAAACATGTTTTAATACATCTAAATTTAAAAACACATCTGTAGTTTTAGTTTCTTTTATTATGTGGATGACAAGGTGTACTTGAGTAGATACAGTGAGTGAAATTATGTCACCGTATTGACAGGGGAGGGGGGTAAAGTAAGAGGAGGGAGGGGAGGAAGAAAAGAAACAAGTCCACTTTCCAAATTCAGGGCCTCTTCCACCAGTAGTTTGGCCTGAATACATGACCAATGGGGGAATGTTACAGTTAGGCTTATTGGCCATTAATCCGTGCTTCAGAGGGCCCGAAATCTTTGAGATGATGTTACAACTCTGACAAGACGTCATTTTAAGGGCTTCCGAGAGTTCTGCTGTTAAATCATGAAATGAAGGCTTAAAATGTCAACACAAACACCAACGTTCAAGAGTTTGACCTCTAGGGAGTGCCATTCCGTCAATTAGACCCGAATTGGGCTTTCTGGGTCAGGGGGGCATGTTGATTGCCCTGGTGCCAAAGGCAAAAACAACCTAAGCTCAGACTCAAAATAAAACAGGCCTATGGATCAACCTCCTGTGGCAAAAAAAGTAGACACGTGCTTTCGAATTCTTCACCAGGAGGACAACGAGGCTGTTTCTTCTTATACAGATAGACAAGTAGTAGGCTTAACTACACAGGTACGGTAAAAGCCCTATCCTCTGGAGCCCCAAATCTTCTAGTTGATTTTGTCCTGGAAAATGTACAAGTTGTTGGTGGCTGCCACAGCTATCACGTTATCTTTGGGGTGCCAGGCAGTGTGGAGGATCTTCTTGTTGAAGTCCAGGCTGTCCACGCTGATCTCATCCTTCTTCCTTTTGCCGCCAGTGGACACTTTGCGGGGTTTGAGCGTGGCCCGCGGTTTGCTGCTCTCCCGGGACGCCTCCAGTGTGATGTCCCGCCTGGTGTTACGGTCGAACATTCTGAAGAAATTGTTGTAGGAGCCGGTCATGATGGCACTGAGGGACAAGAGAAAGACACTGATTATCTGCATGGACACGCTGTAAAAGTGCCATAGATCAGATATATCATACATGTAATAGTAAGTGAAAGACAAGAGCAAGAATACATACCTGTCACTGCCATTCCAGCAGCACTCAAACTTGTCGAAGATGCAGTCGTTTTCATACAAGGAGCAGAGCTTACTGCGCAGGTATTCATGGACCTGAAACAAAACAAAGGACTTAACCCTGAAAATTCACTTGAGCCTATTGTCTTCATCTGCATCACCAAAGAAGTAGACAGACACACAAAATGCAGCCTCAGCTCTGGTTTCAACACAATTGCTCTTAAATTAAGCAAACACACTTGAGGAGAGATTTTGTGAATCACTGGTATGCATGTCATTCATCAATTGGATCATATTTATTTATGTATCTTTATGTTTTCATTTCACAAATGTGAATTTAAATATATTTTAAATTAGGAATAAATTATACAACACTTGAATAAGTTAATAGTTGCATATGAAGTCACTTGATAAAAATGTCAATGCACCTGATACGTCTCCACTGGCCTGTTCTCCATATTGAGGTCCCAAACTTTGACGGAGAGGTAGTCACGTGTCATCATGTAGCGTCCGCTGTGACTGAACTTCACGTCTGAGATGGATGAGATTATCTCAGAGAAAAAGGATCGGCTGCTCGGATCCTCTGGCTCCTCAAAGACTTAAAGAGAGAGAAACAAATCAACTGTTATTTCTAATAATTCTCGGGAATGGGGATAAAAAAAAAACCCAGAATGCATCCGTAGCTTTTCATAAATTATTTGGTAGAATTTTAAAACAATTGCTTTTCCACAGATCAAATACTTAATTGATTAAACACCCAGTAAAGGTACTTACACTTTGAGTGCCGATCACAGAGTGCCGCCGCTCGCATGTCACACAGGCGGATGGTGCCTTTGCTACTGCTGTACACAAAAACATTGCATTGGTGTGGATGGCACTCAGCAGCTGTGATTACTTCTGTCAGTTCCTCCATGTTGGCAGGCTTGATGTCTACAATATCTGGGAACACACTGTTAAGGAACTTCCAGGCTTATGTTTCACACAATGCAAAAACAAATTGACAACATATCTAATGTCTCCTTTCTGGAGACGGACAAGGATACTAAAACTTCTGTCTGTGATTTCCAAGTGCCATAGATTTATTCTTAGGTCATCTGCGGAGAGGTACGTTTCGTGATCACTATTTACAGAAATGGAATTAATGTGATAGGTGTGCGCATTTGCAAAGATCCTCCGTGGGCTTGCTTCTACCATGAGATCCATTGGCATCAGTACTGGTACCTGAAAACATGCAACACGCACCGTTAAGACATGATTTTATAAAACCTGTTAAAAGTCATGTTTAAGTATGAGACAGGTTACAAACCCGTAAGGAGGTGATTCTAAAGGGGTCTCTGAGTCGTCCATCTTCATCTTTCAGGTTGTAACCTTCTGCCCGTTTATCTCTTTCACTTATTTTCCACAATTTGATAGTTTTATCTGACAGAAACACATTTTACAGGTAAAGAATGTGATAGAGACAATGTGAAATTCTAATATCCTCGACGTATATCTGTCAAAAAAACAATCAAACTCTTACCGTTTGTCGAAAGTAGAAAGTGAGCAGCATTTTGTTGGGGTAGCCATCTAATTTTATTTATCTTTTCCTCAATTTCTAAACTTTTCAAATAGTCAAATTCTGGCTCGTGACTCTGAAAAGTGCTATAGACGTTGTACTCCCCGCGCAAGTGCGGACGATTCTTAGACTGAAAGAGAAAGACAGGAAAACACAGTGTCAACATCATCGCTGCAGCACAGAGTCAGGACCTGACGTGTGACATGAAGGCGACCGTGTGCCGTGTGACATCTTACCTCCTGTTCATGCTGAAATATCACTACTCTGCCTCCTTTGTCTCCAGTTGCGAGCAGCTCTCCAGAGTAGTTGAACTCCACTGTAGAGATAATGTCAGCTGGAAATGGACACACATGAGTCAGACCTCACAGCTCAGCTTCCTCCATGATGCTTCACATGATGTTCAATCGAGCTAATTCATTTTCATTTCACGGGGAACGTGGCAAGCGCACGCACGCACACACAAACACAAGTTCATGTGCGAATGAATGAAAACACGCATGATGTCACTCTGACAATTTATGGACGCAGCACATTGACGTCATGGACACGGTCGCTCCCCTTTAATGGCTTAGCCGCCAGCTAGCATACAGTGCTAGCTAGCGGTGGAGTCATTCACAGAGAAAAGGGCGTTTTGTGCAGCCGATCCACAAACACACTCGCACCAACCACGACAGCCGCATCGTACTGAATCACATCCGAGCATCCAGCTAGCGTGCATCTCATGCGAAGCCCACAGAGCATCCCCACCATCACACCACCTAGCTAGCTCCCCCAGCGATGTAGCCGCCGAGCTAGCGTTAGCCACGTACCTTCCGCAACATCTTCATCTATCGCTCCTTTCACTTGAGAGAAACACCACTGGAAATCATTACCTCCTGCAACCCCTGTGGAGGAGAAAGAGCACAGCGTCAGTTCGGGTGTGCGGCTCGGGCTTCGCGTGGCGGCGACAGCGACCCCCCGACAGCGGCACAGTTTGACAACTAGCATCGTTAGCTCGCCAGCGCTAGCCTCGGCTAGGCTAACTTGCAGTATTCAGGCCATCACACACACCAAGTGAGGTGGATCCTTCTTCTCCCCTCTCCCCCTTCACAAAGCAGCTTACCCGCCATTGCTTCATTTAGCAGCTCTGGCTGAACACAGCGTCCAACAGCCCGATCGAACAGCGCAGCTCTCCGCGGAGGGGGACAGATAGCATCCACAATCAGTGTGAGGACTCGGATCTGTCAGGACCACGGAAATTATCCGTGATTTTTTTTTTTTGCTTCCAAAATGGCGCACGGTACATAGAGAAATGACGTCATGCACACATGCCACATCCTGGCTGCCTCCATCCTCCCGAGCATCGTTTCATCAAATCTGCATCCAGCCCCTGATCGTCCTGTTTTCACCTTTAACTCTGCAGCATTACGTGTTCAAAACTACACGTTTAGCTTGTTGAAGTCAGGCCAGCTGTGCTCTGATGGAGGGGGGGGGGCACATGTGACACATCTGGGTGCAGCCATAGCAGCTGTAGCACAATGAATCTAAGACAAATGAAAACACACATGCAATAAAAACCTCCT